GTAAGCCTTTTCCCATCCTCTGAGTAAAGAGTTAACACTCTATTTTGATGCCTTTTGGTTTTCATCACTGAATGAAAATATTGTGAACACTTATCTCCATGCACAGTCCAACTGATATTGGCTTTTTGTCTGTGAAATGATTCTTCACAATGAAGCAGTCTATTGTACTTTTGAATACATTCATTTTCTTGAGATATAAGATCCTGATTAAGGAGATCTAAATTCAGCTGCTTTTGAACATCAATCAATTTTTCTTTAGCTCTTAGAACTTGCTCTCCTATATTCATAAAATGTTTCTTGTTCAATTCCTTGAGTGCAGGTTTCAACATTTTGAGCTTGGAGTATAACCTGTACATATTATACCCTTTTACTTCTTGCCTCCAAACAGAATTCACAACTGTTAGGAACTTTGGGTGTTTTGTCCACATTTTATAAAATCTAAAAGGCTTTTTACCTTGAAAATCTTCTTCACCAACAGATACAAGAGCTGGTGAGTGATCAGAGCAAACAAGAGTTAAGAACTCCACTTGACTTGATGTGTATTGATGCAGCCATTTTTCATTAATCAAAATTCTATTAATTCTGCTCCAAACTCTAGTATCAGCATCTTGTTTATTGTTCCAAGTATAGAAGCATCCAATGGATTTAATATGAAGCAATTGACTGGATGATATAAATTTTTGGAGATCTTCTGTATCAGCATCAGTTGTAGATATTCCACCCAGTTTTTCTTCAGCACTCATAATTGCATTGAAGTCACCACCAACAAGCCAAGGACAATCTACATTATTTTTGAGACTCAGCAAGTCCTGCCATAAAATTTTCCTATCTTCTTTTTGATTTGAAGCATATATCACAGACATTAGACATGAGAACTTGTCATTATTCAATTGAACTGAGCAGGTTAAACACTGATCACTTGCTTTCACCTTATGAATTGTTGGCATATCTTTATTCCAAAGAATCCAGATCCTGCCATTCCCAGCTTCCTGCACATTTGAAGTCCAGCTCCAGTCTTTGGCAATTTTGCTTGCTATCTGCTTCATTTTGTCTTCAGAGAGCTTAGTTTCTAACAGAGCTATAAGGGGAAGATTGTACTGATATATGAATTGCTTGACAATCAGGTGTTTAGAGGATTTATTAAACCCTCTAATATTCCATATGGCTAGTTGCATTTCATTGATTACCACCCCTGTCAATATAACAAGGGTCAAGTTCATTTACTTGAGAGTCCAATGGAGAGAATTGAGATTTCAGGCTTGAATCCATAGAAGTATTGATTTTTGCTTTCCTTGCAATATTTGCTCTACTGACACTTGTGAATCCAGATGCATTCACTATTGGAGAAGTGATTTGGTACACATTTGCAAAACCAGTTTTCTCATGTCTTATGCCGTGCATGTCAGGTGAGCCATTATCAACAGCTCTCCCTTTACCTTTTGAACTGTACATGTTTTTCTCAGCATCTTGAGTAGGAGTTGCCTGATTCTGTGTTGGAGTTGCAGTTGGATTTCCTTCCCCTTTATTAGTATCCAATCCTTCCTTGTTCAATATACCCCCCCTTTTCAGAATTTAATCCTGTCAGTATATTTGGTATATCAGTCTGTACACTTTGTGATGCCTGTACACTATGTAATTGCATTTCCTTCTGCCTATTAACTGGTACCCATACTTTCCTCATCTTTTGTCTCCTGCAGAAGTCAGTATCATGCACAATCATGTTACAAAATGTGCACCATTTTGGCTTTAATTCATATACAACTTTCTGCTTATATTTTTCACCATCAGGCCCTTGAATTTCAATAGAATCAGGTAATTGTTCCTTCAGTGGTAGTTTTACCTCAAGAAGAACCCTTGCAAAGCTTAACATTTGCCTTGTTGCTGTGAGCATATCTGTTGTTATAGGACAACCAATGAGGCTAGAAATTTTACTGATACTAATTGCACTCCATAAGTTGAGTCTCAGATTTGGAAATTGCACCCACATAGGATATGAACAGTCTTGTATTTTCTCCATTTCAGTATCAATTGACCATGGTTTAAGCACCAATGGTCTAGAACCAAAGAACCAAGGCCCTGCTTCTAAAATTTTCCTCATCTGTTGCTCCGATTGAAAGTCAAACAAGAACACACCTGACTTAATCAAAGTGATTTTAGGAATTGAAATCCTCCCCCAGGCTTTGTTGATATAAGCTTCCATAGATTTGAATTTAGCATTTAGTCCTATAACATGGCCTATCAAGGCATTCTTCCAGTATTCTTCACCTACTTTCCATTCCTCTTTAGAGAAAACAGCAGCATTAGTTGGAGAGGGTGGGACAAAATTAAGAGATAATCCTTTCTCAGGCCTTCTGTTATCTGAGAATAAGCTAGCAAACGATTTTTTAACTTCAGGTATATCATTCATTTTGCCTGAATCCTTGTCCTCTTTATTTGGTTCATCATCTTCCAGATTAATCTTCTCAAAATTTATACTCTCTTTATTAGACTGAGCTACAAATGGTGTGAAAACTTCAATATTACTTTCAGCCTCATTACCAGCTCCATCAATTTCAGATTCATACTCTTCTTCCATATCATCAGCCCAAGATATTGAGTTAGGGCTCTTACCTAATTTCCGAGCAAGGATTTGGCCAGATCTATTCTGTTGGAGTGGATCTGAGAGAGAACTTGTTCTTGCCAGAATTTCCTCCATAAGAATCTTCTTCTTTGCCCCTATCGGACCTGTACTCCCCATTAGCTCCTGAGGTGAAGCTCCCCTTGCTCCTACTGTTCTATTGCTTTCCTCACTTCCTTCAATCTCCTCTGTTTCCTCAGATCCCCTAGCTATTTGAGTAGGAGAGGATGAAGGATAGACAAATATAGAGTCTCTCAATGTAGAGCTAACGATCCCTTTACTGCCATTCTTCTTCTTCTTCTTCATGCTAGATCCAGGCGGAGGCGCACAATAGCGGGAGAAAAACGCCCGCTAAAATGCACCTAACAGACCGCCAGCTTTTTTTCCCTCGGTTTGTTTCACATTGAAATCATATGCTGGAAAACATTGATTCTCATTTCTTGGGTTTGTTTGAACATACAGAAATCAAGAAATCAATTGAGTTTTCCAATTAAATATTCAGCGACAATACTTTAAATATTTAAATATGCCTAGATGTGACATTTTCAACCCATTTTAGCCACTTTTTGTCTGAAATTGGTTTTCTTGAAAATCTGATGTGGCAACCCATTTCACCCCACCCCCCTTCATTTCTTTAAAAATCACCCAGCGAACCAAACATAGGGAATGAAAATGTCTTGAAACCAAAATCCTATGTGGCCTTCTTGTCTGATTTCAAACCCCCACATTTCTCCCTTTATTTGGGCAAACAAACAACCCCTTAATGGAAAATAATATTTTGCATGCAGAGATTAGAGGATGTTGAGAAGGGCTCAAAGCCATTAATAGGTTGGGTTAAGTCGGTAGCCTATGGATAGAAGGAGATGCAATGTCTGTTATTCAGTTAATCCAATAATCTTTTAATTAATGATAATAGACAAGTACTAGTTCGTGGTGTTTTGAAGATGTGCAAGGGAATCATGTCGGTTGAGACATCTCGTATTTATAGAGAAGACAACGCTCCAATGAATATTTTCGTTAATGAATGTCAGAGAAAAGCAGAAGAGTTTTGTTGAGTTGAGACCTTATAGTAACATTTTACGTAGGGCGTACGTTAGATGCAGATGATGTTATATACGTAATTAATTAAGACAGGAATTGTCAATATTTCGTAGGTAACAAGAAAGAAGGATCATCACAGTGCATCTGATGTATAGATATCCAAGATTTCAGTACCACTACTAAAATCTTACTGTTATAAAATCACATGCTGTCAGTGATGAGAGATCGACAAGATGAGGAGGATTGCTTTAATTGAGAGGGGAGAATAATTGTGTGGGGGTGGTAGGAGATCCCTCGAAGAACTACACGAATCCGTTTGCTCCCTTAATCAAATATAACCACTACAGCTATTTACCTTTGGAAGAGAGAATTAGAGATAGGAGATGCAATTAGCTCATAGCTGCCCACATGGGTGCGCCCATTGCCTGTCCTTGCAAAAGCACTGACACCCACCCCACCCCTCTGACCCTTAACGGTTTTACCAACCCAAAATCAAGCCCGGTGTGAGCCCAACACGGACCGTGTTGTCCCTTTCAAATGAGAATTTTTCTTTCTTTTAAGGTAGAGAGGCTAGCTAATTTCTCAATTCTTGAAATCAATCAATATTAGTAGATTAGTCTCTCATAGGGAACTACAACCCAACACAAAAGCAAAAGGCACCCCCTCAAAGAGATTGTTCTCTCCTCGATTTTCTCTCCCTAGGGATTCCCCTCTCTTTCATATTCATAGTCACTCGTATCACCATCGTCATCAATTTCATTATCTTCTTCAAGAAGAGCCTCCACTTGCTCAGCCACCACAAACTAGTCCTCAGCTTCATCAAACAACAGGATTCTCCTTGTCCCTGTGAAACAACGAAATCAAACAAACAGATTAAGATGCTGTGTGATAGTGAGCAAACGGGCAGCAGCAACCAATGGACACAGGTCTCCATCGCTATCACTTCAATAATTCTCTCCTGCATGCCCATTTTGTTCTCTTCCCCTTGTCTCAGAACCTTCCTCAATTCCCCAACTTCGATCAATCAAAATCATTATTATTACTAATATTTCCATTTCTCACCACAACACCCTTTACTTTTTGCAGAGGATGATGATGATCCCCTCAACAAATTCAAATTCACAAAGCAACACTACGACAGCTAAAAGACCGTGTCTGCTCGCATGGCGCAGCAAGCAGCACGGCAGAGGCTTCCGCAGCCGCAGCAGCTGAGTGCCCGCGCTGCGACTCGCGTCCGAACACAGTTCTGCTACTACAACAACTACAGCCTGTCGCAGCCGCGCCACTTTCTGCAAGGCGTGCAACGCGCTACTGACACGCGGGCGCCGAGCACCCTCCCGGAATGTTCAGTCGCGGCGGCTGCGCGCAAGAACAAGCGACTTCAAGAAACATCACCAGCGCCACAACCCTCCTCCTCCTCTCGCGCCGCCGCCGCCGCCACTGTAAGTGCGCTGCGGAACGGTCGCGACCCTGCGGCCCGGAGCATCTTCGTCGTCGATTGTTAATAACTTGGCAACATCTGTTGATCTCAGTTCTTTCCTGTATGGTGATGTGAATCTTGGTGGTGGATATGAAGCCCTTGGTCTTGGTGGTTTGATTCCTCATTCAGATCAATTGTCGACAGGGTTTGTCAACAATAATTCCTCTAATCTGCAGTCTTGTTTCTTGAATAATGAGTATCCAGCAAGCTTTGGATCTCAAGCGGCGTCGCTGCTTGTCTCGAGCATGAAGCAACCGAGGAAAGTAGAGGATCGGTACGCGCAGCCCGCGTTGCCTTACGAAGGACCGCAACAAGGCTATGAGAGTCTGAATCTAGGGTTTGTGAAGGATGTGAAGGTTGAGGACGGCAACAATTTGAATAATATGGGCAACAACAGTGCTGGTGATCAATGGCAAGCTAACTATCCATTTGAAGCCCTAAATGGTGCAAGTGATTCATCCTATATGTACTGGAGCTCCGCTATGGGAGGTTCAGTGTGGCCGGATCCTTCGAGTTCTTCAGTTGCCCCTTTGATCTAGCTAGCTCAACATTTCATTCTCACTCAAAATTCTCTAAATTTATTTTTTTCCCCTTTCCTTTTCTTTTATTTTCGTTCTTCTAAATCTTCTTGGTGTCCCATTCGTTAAATATGGATCGGAGAGATCATGTCGGTTGCAGGCATCGTTGATCGCGGTGTTGAGAAGATCGTTTGCTCCGAGAGGAACCTCGGATCCATTAGGGTTTCATCATCTCCTTTGTGATAAGAGTGAATAATTAATTAAGAGGAAAGGAGGTAAGAGGAGAGTTTTATATTAAGTCACGTTTATTTCTATATGTATATAGGTGATACCTTGGTTTTTCTAATGCATTTGCTCTTAATTAATGAGTGGTTTCTCGGGGTATATTGAAGATATATATGATCGTTTAAAATGCATCTCTTTTTTATTTTTTTACTTTTTTCTTCTTTTGGTTTAGAGGAGTTTATTACAGAGTTATAACAATGTCAAGAGTGGGATTTTATTTCCAATAGTGTTGGTGGCTTCAGTTTCTTGTGATGTTATTTGCACTGTAATAGATTGTTGATTTAACTTTTAATTTTCTTCGCTTCGATTGCTTTTTTAATTTTTTTTTAATTTAAATTACAGAAACTGTCTTAATTTGAATCGTTTAGATGTATCGTGGATCATGAACTTTATTCTGTTCGTCTGAGAATGCTGTCCTCTCTCCCACGCAGTTGCCACTCTTACGAAGCTTTATTGGTTTGGTGATGCATTGGAAGATGTGCTAGATTTTTTTTTTTTTTGATCTAAATGATAAAATGGAGACAAATATTTGATTCTTCTGACAAACTGAAATGTATCTTAGAGCATGCAATGGAAGCTTGTGTGTGTACTGAAGTGATCCAAACTCATCTCTTGTTTTTTCAGTGCGGTACGAATTCTTTTCTTAAGAAGAAAAAGGGAAAACAATCATAAAATAAACATAAATTTTCTGCAATGGAAGCTTTTATGGTTATATGACATAATCTGATTGCTTATGTTTGGTGCATATTAGTGCATATATATACGGGCTACATAGAAACATATATATGCACCATAGGAAAGTATAAGAAATTGGTAGAACCGGATCAATTTCTTGTTTCTATAAGTTTCTTCAATTCAGAAAGCAATGTCCTCAAAACTGTGAACCCTAGATCTTGCTTTTCGTGAAGCTTCACAAAAGAAAAAAAAGAAAAGTAATGTTTCTGCATTACAGGCTCTTGAACTCTCTCTCTTCAACGGAGACATAGAATTTCTACTTTTATTGGCAACTATAATTAAGTGTAACTGTGGATTCATTGATTTTAGCACAATGGACATATTTTTACCCTCTACGTTTTGTTTTACTTGCATTATAATTCATTTATATGGAGGAGTCTGCAATCTGCATATCGATCTTGCACACCTTGATGCAGCCTAGATAAAATTGCTATGTACTGATAATCCACTGACATTTATTATTAATCAGTTAATCCCACTGTGTTTATCAATTCGCGGGACTAAATTTAACCTAATCTATCCTTCAGTATGTGACTTATATGTACGTAAGAGGATTGTCATCAGGTATCGATTTTGGTCTCAGAGAAGAGTATTTTAATCTACATATAATCGAATCCAAGGATTTTGGAGAGTGTCCATTGAGCATAAACCCGCGTTTATGATTTCAATTAATTTTGTGTCGGGCAACTAAATTGAAACAAACATCAAACAATTATTGGTTGTCATATAACGTTCGAATCATGTGAAACATGAAGAACTAATTGTGCTAATAATTTTGACAAAATTATAAGAAGGTCCCAATATCAATCATTCCCATTTTCCAAATCAATCATTGCTCAATGATTCACACGCTACCTTGAATGCATTGTTGTGACGTAATTATGCAGTGAAGAATACGGTAATGCTCAGGATAAAGTGGATAACAAATCAGCGTTCCATATTCTGCTAGTTTTTTTTGGCTAAATTATACTTAAATACCCTATTGTTTCACCACCTTTACACCTAAATACCCTAAGTTGTATAAAGTAGAATTTTAATACCCTACGCGGTGAAAAAATGTCACATTAGTATCTTTTGTTAGTGATCATGGGATTATTCTTAGGAAACTGTCTTGACAATTAACAAAAGGTATTCAAGTGCTACGTTCTTACAACTTAGGGTATTAAAATGCTACTTTCTTACAACTTAGAATATTTAAGTGTAAAGGCGGTGAAACAATAGGCATTTAAGTGTCAAATTTTTAGGGTATTAAAGTGCTATTTTTTAACATCTTAGGGTATTAGAGTGATGCTTTTTACAACTTAGGGTATTTAAGTGTAAAGGTGATGAAACAATAGGCCGGGTATTTAAGTTCCAGCCTAGTTTTAAAAAAAAGTAATTGGCATCATCTGATAAACAATGGTCTCCGACAACTCTAAATTCCCTAACAAACAGATAATTACTTATGATGATGGTGACAAAAAATACAATGAAAAATTTTCATGGCAAGTGACTGCCAAATCCTTTAAGTTTCTTTGCTTTCCTTGTTACTAGAAATATATATGATATAACTAGCTAGCTATGCTGCATATATGATTCTATAACTTTTGCTACTTCTGCTATTTTTCATAAAGGCGCATACATCTCACATTAATGATGACTCCTCCCGGATTTAATTCCTTATTTTCCATTAGGGAAAAAAAATTTAATTAATGTTTTTATAATTACTCGAAAAGTCTCACTGATTTTTGTACGCCTGAAACGTGAAAATATGTGTATATATCTATAGACTCTTCATTACATCCGTGGCAATTCGGTTCTCATTTTTTGTTTCATTTTCTCCCCTAATTGCTTCATTGGATTTTACGTTTATAAACTAAATCATTCTATTTCTATCTAGTTTTTCACCTTTTATAGTTATTTTTTTCTTTGAGTGCACGGGTCATAAATGTTCGACACGCATGCATCACTTTAGCACATAGTTATTTTTTGACAAATATTCGGAACAGTAGGAATACACATGTATAAGATCTGTATCTTTTGCTACAAGTCGTATCGTGACGCACGTACGTATCATGTAGTATGCTAAGGCTGTAGAAGGTGGTCATGTTGAACTCTTGAATGAGGGTCCCAGCACGTGATTCGAATTTGGGCTACGTTGGATATTAAAATCCACTCTTCCAAAAATAATGTTAACTTCGAATACAACCCCTAACGAGGGCCCAAACACATGATTTGACTATGGCCTACCTTAGATTTTAAATCCAATTAAGTTGCCAAACATACCCAATAAAATAAAAATAAAATCATGAAAATATACCTAAAAACTTGAATGCTATTTCTAAGAAAAGAAAGATACCATATGGCTCAACGAAAATGGAGTTTGGGTTTCATCATGATTAGGAGATTGTGTTTCATCATGATTAGGAGTTTGAATCGATCCTATTTTAATTAGGAAATTAGGCTAAAGATAGGATTTTAGTTTCCCTATATATATTGTTCTATTGTTGGAGAAAAAACCAAGCAGAAGAGACACTACAACAAATTGCACTTTTCCCGACGCTTATTCCCGACGCATGGTTAAATACGTCGCCAAAAATTATGTTTTTCCCGACGCTTTTAGTTAGCGTCGGCAAAAAATATATTTTTCCCGACGTTTATAATTAGCGTCGCTAAAAGTGTATACTATTAGCGACGTTTTAACTTAGCGTCGGTAAAAGTTATGGATTTTCCGACGTTTTTTTATTTTCGTCGGCAAAAGTATAGTTTTTTAGCGACGTTTTAGAATTAGCGTCGCTAATAGTACACATTTATCGCGACGTATTAGACTAACGTCGCTAAAAGTATTCTTTCCCCGACGTATCTATTTAGCGTAGCTAAAAATCATATTTTTTACGACGTTTATTTATTTATCCGCGTCGCCAAAACAGCCCCCCAAAATTTTCCCACTCGTAAAAGGGAGGGAAAATTGCCCCCTTTTATTTTCACGAAGAGCCAAAACCCCCACCCCCGCTCTCTCTCTCATCAGCAAATCGTCCCCAAACCGTGCTTCTTCTCTGAAGTTCGCCACCTTCGTCGAAGCTCACCGCCGCCATCGTCGGAGATATCCGCCTCCGTCGAAGTTCACCGCCGCCTCCGTCGGATCTCGTCATCGTCAGAGCTCTCTCGCCGCCTCCCTCCCTCTCTCTCTCGCTCTGTATTCTCAACTCAAGGACGAGATCTCGTTCAAAGGTGAGCTTGATTTCGATCTTGTTCTGTCTAATTTTTCTTTAGATTTCAGTTGATGTGAAGTTTTTATGCGGGATCTGGATCTCGTTTGGGCGATTCTAGACTGTGATTAGCTTTAGATTGGATCTAGGGTTTTTAGTAGATTTATCAGAGATTTGGGTGCTCTTGTTCTAGATCTGTGCATTTTTTTTTTGAATTCTGAGCATTTTATCGATTTATTTATGTTTAAAGCAGTAAGATCTGATCTATTGAATATCATCATGATAATTTGCCTTTGAAATTGATGAGTTTTTTGTTCTGGTTCGTTTCGATGCATGTCTAGTGTTCGATTGAATGCTTTAAAAAGACATAATTTTTATGGCTTATGATATGTTTTATGGCACAAAAATTACTGAAATAAATTATCTTTTAAACCTATTTTCATCCTATACGTGCCTCTTTAGAAATTTACGGGAATTATTCAAGATTGATGCTGCAGACTACATGATATCCATTTGTGGTAATGTGGAAACTAATGAAGCTTTATCTCTAGATTATTATTATTATTTGTTATATGTTGAGGGTTTATGATATCCACATTCCTGATGCTAATTAAGGACACTGATCGGGTAAATATCACACTTTACTAGTGGTTTAGATCTTTTTTGGCCTTCTTTGCAGACACCTAACTATTGTGTGTTTCTTTTTCATAAATATTGTGTGTTTCTCAGGATCATTATAAATTTTAGAACATGGCATAAACTTCAAGTAGGACTTAAAACTTTGTGTGACTGATTGTTTTCAAGGAATTCCTCCCCGACTATGGTGTATAGCTATTCTGCCCAATAAGTTATTTATACTTTAGGACATGGCGATAACACTTCCTGAATGTAACCATGCATGATATGTGACTTTACCCTTTGATAACGATTATACTCGTTCTTTTAACACCTGTTATAATTAATCTGGATTCATGTGCACTTGTAACCATACTTATTCTGATAGTCAATTCTGATATAAACATGTTGTTTGTGACAATGTTGAAGACTTGACTTTAAAGCAATATTTCTAATGTTTCCTTCATCTTTTTTTCCCTAATGTAGATCATTATGATGTCAAGATGCCTTGCCACCTTATTCTCTCAAAGCTTGCAGTGAAATGTCCTTCTGCTGTCCTTGCAGGTTGATGACTTGATTCTCCTAACATATGGTTCTAAATTTCCTCGTAACCAATAACTCCTTTGTTGACAAAATTAAATTTCTGTTGTAGTTTTGGATTCATTGGTTGACCCTCTTGAGAGAACTATTAATCATAAGCCAAAGCTGGATGCTGTTAAGCAGGAAGTTGACCGTAATGAAGACATGATCCGAAGTGCTCTTCGTGCTATTGCCTCGGATGCTGTTAAGCAGGAAGTTGACCGTAATGAAGACATGATCCGAAGTGCTCTTCGTGCTATTGCCTCATTGAGTCGCATAAGGTATGAATTTTTGGACGTTCTCAATGACGAATGACATTATTCTTCGTCTATTTCTTGCTTATGACAATACTGATACTAGAGAGGCAGTCAACTTCTGTTTTTTTTAAACCTGTTTATTTATGTAGTTTTTTTCCTTGCAGCAGCACATACAGTTTTTTTGCTGATCCTGATATCATAGTTCCATGTGTTTTCTTGCAGACATTTAGTTCCATAATGAGATCTGGCGAAGTCATTTAGTTGGTCATTTTACAGGAAAAACCACTGAGTTATTAAGATCCTTGTTTTGTTTAGGAGCTATCGTTAATGATTCCTAATGAAAAAAGCTTCATTTTAGGTTATTGGGTTATGATTTTCTTTATGTCTGGGAATTACAATTTGCTTTTACTTCTCATATTTGGATAATGTTGGATATGGCTGACAAAGATGATTTTTATGGTCTTCATAATTGCATGAATCTGGTGACTAGATAAGTAGATACAATGTTTCAACAGGGCTTCATTCTAGATGTATCAACTCCATAACTGTGTAGTTATTTTGGTTCTGAAAATATGATCTGAAAGTGGAAGCTAGAGAAATGGTGATAAAAATGTGATTTAAAATTTTATTTCGGGAGTGTATTTTCAAGGAACTGGAGAATGTTGCCTATTTTTATAGGAATTGGAGGTTCTTTGTTCTCTGAACATGCTGGTGTTGCTGGAAGTAGAGCTAGAAAAGGGTGATCTTTACCTCCAAATAATTTCCTTTTTGTGTAATTTTCAAATGCCTCTAGTCATGATCTTTGCTATGATTTTGCTTGAAAATCTTGCTTTTGTTCCCCCTACTTAATGATCAATCTGTAGTATTTTTAAGTCTCACCGAAGAACATGTTAGTGTATCTAAGCGCTATAAAATATATAGTAGTATTTGTTTGAGCTATATATTTGTAGTTGATAATCTAACGTTGCATTTTCTCTAACAGGAAATAATCAAAGAACTGATAGAAAGGCTACCACACATGAAAGAGCTTATGAATATGTACTGTGGCCTTGATAGAGTGACTGCAAAGCAACAAATGCAGGAGTTAGACAGAGTTGTAAAAAGTCTACCAGAGAGTATACCTTCATCTGTGAAGAGGTTCACTGATCGTGTCGTTCTTTCACTTCAAGTTTTATTTTTTTAACTTAGTTTAGTTTCCTGTAAATCTTATAATGTGTAATTCTCTGAAATGGAAAACACTGAATATGGAAAACTGGAATATTTAAACAGGCCTTTGAGTATTGACTTGGAAATGAAAATGAATGTAATTATTTTGCAACGGGAGCAAATTCTTTGTTTATCATAATATGCAACTTGTTTGGAGTATAATTTGATGTTTGGTTTTTTTGTTGATGTGAATGGGAGCAATTTTTTTGTGGATGTTCAGGTTCAGTGTAGGCTTGTAGTTGATAGAAAAAATATTACTTTTGGCGATGCAAATTAGTGTCGACAAAATTATATTTTTTACCGACGTATAATTATGTGTTGCCAAAAATTATACTTTTACCGACGCTATCTTGCGTCGGCAAAAGTATAGCTTTTAGCGACGCTATCTTGCGTCGCCAAAAGTATAGTTTTTAGCGACGCTTCACTCTGCGTTGCTAAAAGCTGCACTTTTGCCGACGCTAACTTGCGTCGCCAAAAGTATAATTTTTAGCGACGAACAATTTTACGTCGCTAAAAGCTATATATTTGCCGACGCATAGCTTTTGCCGACGCTGCATGCGTCGCCAAAAGTACACTTTTGCCGACGCAAAATATTATGCGTCGCTAAAAGATATACTTTTCCCGACGCATGACGCGTCGCCAAAAGTGTACTTTTGGCGACGCAATGTATTTGCGTCGCCAAATACTTTCCTTGACGCACTTTTGGCGACGCGTTAGCGACGCTGCATTTTGCGTCAGGAAAGATTTTTCCCGACGTTTTTTAAACTTTTGCCGACGTTTTTGTTTCGTCGGCAATGTTGTATTTTGTTGTAGTGAGAGAGAGAGAGAGAGAGAGAGAGAGAGAGAGAGAGAGCCAATATTCTTGTAATCTAGGGTTAGAAGAGGGCGTAGCCTGATTCAAGAATATTACGCGAAAGACGAGGATGTAGGCGTCAAAAATTACCTATGGGTCCCCGTACACGGCTCGAGATAGAAAGAAGACGATGAACGTCGCTATCCGAGTCACAGAAGCTCATTTGATGACGATAAGCGCATGAAGTGAGTCGACGAACCATGCGAAGCAACGGAACTTCGGAATAACGGAAACACGAATGGATCGGGAGATACGCGTCGCTTACAAAAGACGAAGCGCCCCTCGTGTCCTGTTTACTCCACATATGATTCAATCATGGAAGCTCGTAGATCTTCTCGTCGGCTTTCCGATGCATTTTGAATTGCGTGATTCCAAATTCGGACGATGAAGATACGGTAGAAACGGACATAACACGCCAAACCAAGCTCAGGCCAAAGCTAAGACACCAAGTGGTGTCTCGGCCAAGCAGCCCCTGAAAGCAGTTTTTGGCAGATTTAAGCTGTTTTTCGACCGTTAACCGTCTGGATTTATTTTAACTGATAAAATATCATCCAAGAACGTGGTTAAGTGGTTATAACTGAAGATAAGAGTGAATCGATTGTTCTTATCCGAAAACAGAGGTCCCAAAGCCTATAAATACAGCCTCAGGGCCTTCATTTTTTCAGATCTGGAATTCTTGAGCGTTGGCGAAACCCTGCTGGATTGAAGACTGAAGGAACACGAATTTCAGAAGAGAGGAGGAGATCGGATCGAGTTCGTCAGCATAAAGAAGAGGAGCTAGCCAGATCTATAGTTCCCGGTTCCTTTCCTTGAGATTGCCTCGTTGCGGTGATCTCGAGAAGAGTGATTATCTCGCTGTTGCTGAGATAATTGCTTCGGTTTCTTGATTCCTTCGCGAATCAACGAAGCTCCGGATCTGATCTGATCGTTTGGTAGTCCACGGATATCAACATCCCCGTCACAGGCTAAGATCCCACGCAAGCAGCGGATGATAAATGTCCGTTACGTTTGTTTTAACGAGGGTTGTATTTTTTTCGTTTTCATTGTGTAAGTGTCTTATAAAAGACTATCTTTTTTTGTTGTCATTGTAACGACTGAAGTTGTAATGACTACATCAATGAAGACATTAACTTTCTTCCCAAACAGAGGATTTCGTAGTCTTTGTCCGTGTAAAAGATTACATCATTGGGAGAGTATTTCACAGTCTTTGTCCATTCAAAAGATATTGTAAGGAGAGGGCTTTGGAGATAATATGAGAGTTGATTATGTATGTGAGGTTGAAAGGTTGAGAGACGAGAGTTGAGTAGGTCCTCTTGTAGTTCTCCCTGATACATAGGGGATTTCTCGTATTGTTGCCCGTGAGCCGTGGACATGCATATGTCGAAGTTAGTCTACTGAGCCACGTAAATCTCGGTGTTCTTTCTTCTTGATTGTGGTTACTTTAGCACATAGTTATTTTTTGACAAATATTCCGAACAGTAGAAATACACATGTATAAGATCTGTATCTTTTGCTACAAGTCGTATCGTGATGCACGTATGTATAATGTAGTATGCTACGGCTGTAGAAGGTGGTCATCTACTGTTGAGCTCTTGAATGAGGGTCCAAGCACGTGATTTGAATTTGGGCTACGTTGGATCTTAAAATCCATTCTTCCAAAAAAAAAATGTTAATTTCGAATCCAATCCCTAACGAGGGCCCAAACACATGATTTGACTATGGCCTACCTTGGATTTTAAATCCAATTTAAGTTACTAAACAATAAACATACCCAATAAAATAAAAATAAAATCATGAAAATACCTCAAAAAAATTATGTTTATGGTTGGTATGCTTGAATTACATGGGGTCACTTTCCTCAGGTCTATGTATAGCATTTTGAGATTACAAACGTTCACCATATCCTTGGCCCTACAGTTAAGAACATTATAAAAAGCAAACTAAATTGACATAGCTTTGAAGTGTATAGATGAGCACTCTCTTACAGTAGTTGTCCACTTGTGACAATTTGAACAAGGGTGATCAGAAACGAAGAATAGATCCTAGTCAGTTCACACAAACAAAAAAGATTGTTCTGACGACCGTATATTTCATTTTTAAGCAGTTCCACGTCCTGGATGCAAGAAATTAATTGGTCGAATTCACATATGAAAGCAAAGCTACCTGAAACTTATTTCCACAAGATCATGAAACGTCTTCACAAAGCAAATAACCCAACTAACAGAAAATATTCCATTAAGCAACTCGTCACATTTGAGGACAAAATCATTTTACAACTAAATGTCAAGCTGAAAGAAAGGGTGAAAGATAAAATTAGTAGAGTAGTAGATTCTCACATTAATTTAGACTATAGTGCAGTTGTATGCACCATGCACACACAGCTGGTGAAGAACAGCCAGGTTAGAAAGATCCACATATACTGTTCAAAAGCGTACGAGAATGAATTTGTTGAGCCCACGAGAACTGTAGGCCCATGCTTGACCAAAAGCAGTGACGTGAAGATCAAAAAACAGTTTGAGAAACTTATCGTCATGTTCGCCCTGAAGGTCCCGTGAAGAGGGATTTAACCCCGTATCCGACCAACGTACAGCTAGCGCTCACATACAATACCCAGCGTTCATCAGAATGCCTTTGAAGTTTGAACACATAGAAACCTATTTCTTCTGTATTAGGTTCCTGAACAAGTTCACTGAAAATTCCAAGCACGTGTATCAGTACTGTCCCCTCATCGTTGAGCCCATTTGGTATCTTCCGCAGATATGTGTGCAGCAGCCGGACCAGCGCTGGTGCATTGGCCAACGTCTTACAAGAATTAGGCGCCGACATAAATACGTGAGGGCGGCTGGCTCATCTCAACAAGTCGAGCAAATATCTGGCGAGCATCTGGCCAGAGCTCCGAGGTTTCACTGTCCACGATATACTGGAGGATTGAAAAAAGCATGGCATCAAACAAATAGTCATCAGGTAATGGGCTCTTTGGCTTCTTGCACACCTCAAAGCGAGGAGATATCGGAAGCGTGCTCTCGTCCAGAGCCGCATCCACCTCTTCCTGAATCTCATGATGACTAGAAGGTCGGGATTCTTCCACGCCGATATTTTTCTCGGCGTATAAGAATTCTTTGAGTCCCGGTATGCGACTCCTATTAGAAGTGTTCCTGGATCTATAATGACGCCGAATGAAACCTAGTCCCGACGAGTTAATATTGAAGTTTAGGATCACCGTATTCGCCATGCAATGCAAGTGCTGTCCGGGGTTGAGGATTTTGTTGCGGGAATGAGAAGAGAGCACATGTACCTCCGGCGATGGTCCAATACCAAGACCTTGCTACGATAATTAGACAACAACCCCCAGATTGTAATTGAGTGTTGGGGTTATCAAGATATAGCTGGTCATAAAGCGGCAAGGCAGATAGGGCTCTAATACACACACGGGGCCGAAACGATAAATGAGATACCCGGGACGAATGCCCATGAGCCATGTGAAGCAACCGAGTGACATGACAGTGTAACCCTGACCATTTGATTCGTCTACTACAGCTTGGCCGTAGTTGGTCCCGGGAAAATAAGGAAAACACCGGTTGAAATCGAAATTCTTATGATCCCGGAGAATACGTCTCACCAAGGCCATATAATGCTTACTCCAATCTCAGTTTTCCAACCTCTGAATGAAAGGAGTAACATGTCTCTCTACACGAGCGGAAGGCGCGCCCATAAGTGTGGACAATGCATGACGAACCACGCCATGAGATAAGCGTAGGGCAATTCTACCTTTGGGTTCTTAGCACATTGACAAAAAGCGTAACATAAGCGTAGCAATCCCCAATGGATACGAACGATCATGGTAGGAAGAAGAGCATATTGATGGCTGTGAGTCAAACAAATGGCCGGAAATACCACATCTTTTGGCAATGCATCAAAGCTACCAGAAGGAACAATAATATGCTTGATCCATAACATGAGATATCCCATCAGTAAGGCTTTGGAAGAAATCGGCTCCCCACATTAGAAAAAGTAACTCTCAAATATTGTGTTTGTCAGGTAACCATGCTCATCTGAAGATGTTACATAAGACAAAGGTAGATGGTGTTGAGGCTTCAACATATTAGAGCCATTTTATTCATAGGTTACCGACTGTCGCGATTGGAGTATTTGGATCTGGTGGAGCTACTTCAGATTTTGGGTTGCTTCAGATATTTGGTTGCCCAGCATATGATCATATCGAGGATGTGAGATTTGATCCGAGTGAACATTTAGGATTCAGATACTTGTTTGGTTATCAGTTGTTGGACTCTGATTTTGTTCTGAGCATGTATGTCATATTTGACTCTCGGCAGGTGGAGAATGTTGATCAGATCATTGTGATATCGCAGCGGGTGGAGAGTGATGATATTCCACGTTAGGTGGAGATTACTCCACGTTCTCCGGATCATTCTGTATCGTTTGGGATTCCATTTGAGGTGACACAGATTGGGATCATGTTGATTTGGATACAGATGATGAGTTAGTTGATTCGAGTGCAGCTGATAGACACAGTTTGGATTTGGTTATGCCCGTTGGTTCACCTCAGGTGGAGGTGTTTAGTTCGTTTCATTTTAGGGCCATTGGAAAAGTTATCAGTTGCATATTTGTTGATGATATTGGAGAAGGATTGAAAACTCTTCTCGTTGATTGAGGGCCTTTTTGGAGGCCATTTGGTGAACTACGTGAGGCTTGATTCCTTGGGCAAGAGGATACGTAGGCAGTCATTTTGATGCAGCCGGTTTGGTGAGTTGATACCGACATTTAGAGTTTGTTTGCATTCTCGTTTGGGTTCTCAACTTGTTGTGGATTGAGTCTGTTGTCATGGATTTGTTTAACTTCGTACTGAACACAACAAGTGGGACATTTGGTTTGGTTGGTATCGGCTCAGTTTTGGGAAAACTTCGCGGAGGTGGAGAATTGTAGAAACGATGAAGGAATTTGGAGAAGAACATGTTTGGGAAGCAAAAGAACAATTTTGGTCATGTTCGGTCGACCGCGGTGCTAGGCCAGTCGATCGAATATGTGCACAAACCCTGAGTATGATTCAGGGCTTGGTGCGATCGATCGCCGCGGCCAACCGCCAAACCCTGTAATCAAACCCGAGTGTTTGGAGTTAGGTGCGATCGACCGCTACGGTCGACCGTCAAATCCTGCAGTTGATTTTTTTGGTTTTTGTGTTTGTCGCAGTCGACCGCATATCGGGTCAGGCACAGTTCTTTGTTTCCTGTTCTGATTTGGTTTTGAGTTTGGTATAAATATCAAACACGATTTAGGGTTCCGGGAGAGCAGTATTGGGGATATTTGGAGCACAGAAAAGAGTCTTTTCTGGAGCTATTGTTTAGGGTTTTGTTTGAGAGATTGAGAGCTTTGTTGATGAGATTAATTGGTGAGTTTTTTGTGTGATTTTGTAATATCAGTTTGTACTCTCCTTCTCTATTAGTGAAAACGCATCCCCATTGTCCCGTGGACGTAGACAACTTGCCGACCCACGTAAAATTCGTTGTTTGTGTTTTTGCCGTTATTTTGGATTGTTTGGCTTTCTCTCCCGGCGTTTGTTTTTGTTTCTCGAAGCACAACACCGCCCTCAGCCAGCCCACAACCCCATCATCAGCCTCCACATCACTGCGTTCAAATAAACGAAAAACTCCCCCATCCACGCACGCCTTCTCATGATCCTCGGAGAACGCGGGCGGCTTAATCAAATTCAACGGGAAGAGAATCTCGCAGCATCTCTGCTGCATGCGACTCAAACGACGGATATTCATGATTGCCAGAGGCAACAAGGCGGCTGTCTTCAGGAAGATTTGTAGAAGAGGACCTGCAAAGTCCACAAGATCGATACCAAGAGTCTGGGCGTTGAAGGGACGCGACGATGAGGACGTTGTCGATGGCGTAGTCTGCGGAGGGGACACAGTTGATGAGGCCCAGGGAGAAGAGATGACAAGGCGCGGGAGAAGTATTGGGTGTAGAAAGCTGGTAGGGTTTCGTCCGGTGTCGACTCCGTCGGTGATTCCAGAAGAGAAGAAGCGAGGGAGTGAGGAGAGAGGAGGGTTAAAACAGCTACAGTTCAGACCCGCAAACGGGTGCGGGTGATCGGAGTGGGATTAATTTAACGTCCGACCCGCTTGCTTGTTAATAACACGGCTCGGCTTTGGGACGCCTGCAAGATTTGCATCAGCGTGCCCAGACTCTGTTGGCGAACGCGGTGCGGTATTCCAGACTTCCCGGCTTGCGAGCATGTTGGTCAGAAGTTAGCTACTTTCCCATACTATCGACATTATTAAGGACCACAAAGTGAAGATTTGCGGCATATATTTTGGTGAGCTTCTCTCTCCGTGAGAAAATATAATAAGGACATAATACAGTGTTTATTTTATGCCAAAAAGGGCATGTAACACTTAAACCCATATCGACATCATAAACGTAGCATATATAAAACATGCTTCTTAAAGCAAGTTGTTCTATTCGAAAATTGCTAAGCCCAATAGTCAATAGTAAGCATAAGACAGAGAACCACAGATGCAAATAACTACCAAATAGGCTAAACTATCAAATTGGTATATAAAAAAGACTCATTTTAACACTCCAGTGTTTAGTATATCCCCTTTGACGTTTAGGTATTAGAAGTTGATTTCCATTAAAACATAACTCTAAAATTTGGCCAGCTAACTTTTCCGACGGGGAATTTTCTTCGCACCCCCTAATCTTCATTTTTGTTGTAAATGGGGGTTTTATTTAGAACAACCGAGTTGATTTGTTTGTATTTTTCTCAAATCTAAATCCTAATCATCCTCCTCTTCTCTTCTTCTTCCTCATGCAGGCAACCTATCCCGACTAATACATTTGATTCTTGCCCACTCGCCAGAGCAAGCTTTAATGCCAGAGTCATTCCAGCTTCTTGAAACCACTCTTGGATCTAAAATTGCTTACTTAAAGCCTGCAATCCTTGATAATCTTGTTGGGTTATTATAACTCCATCGTAGGTTGAGCTGAAGATTGGCCAAGAAGAAATACAAAGATTAAGATAGAGAGAAGATCCATGGGTTGAGGCCGGGGTGGGGTTGAGAGGTTGCGTTTCGTAAGGAGAAGAGCTAAAGAGTTTTTATCTGTTTGGGTTTATTTCTTTTTGAATTTTGGGTTGCCTGCATATTTTGATTAGGATTTGAATTTGGGAAGCAAAAGATAATAAAGGGTATAAAATACAATAATTTTAAGATGTCGGAGGGGTGGAAAGAAATTTTCCCGCGAAAAAGTTTTCTCTGGCCAAAATTCAAAATTATGTCGTAATGGAAACCAACTTTAAATACCCAATCATCATAGGAGAAATCTTAAATACCAGAGCAGTAAAATGAATTTTTTTAAAATACCATTTTAGTAGTTTAGCCCTACAAAATATGAACAAATTAATAATGCTACAATAAAAGTGTACTTTAACAAGACTGCACGCATCTCTTTGCACAAATTAAAAAGAAAAGGATTTCTATGTTTTCTTTCTTTCATTGACTTATCTACCTGTAAATACAACAAATACGGTTAGATCTTGTATTTTCCTTCTGAGGTAAAGAATAAGAGTTGCTGGGAGAATGAGTGACAAACATTACAAACCAGGCACTTGTACTCATACCTGGGAAAATATACATGGCACTTGTATCTCTTGCATTCTTGTTCTTTCACCAATAAAAGTAAGGGATCATCTCTCACTTTGTTTTCTCATTTAAATGCCAGCTCTTTGATTTGCAAAAACTGTGGTAAGCACCAATCATGGGCCTCTGGGTACTAACATGTTAGTATGGCTCAAAACAAGTAAAAACCAACAACTTTAAGAACTTCAAACCATGTAAGTCATGCCCACTTGCATTAGATTTGTATGAGGAACACTAAGTGTTGCAATCCCCCTTCTGCAGTTCTTTCTCAAGAACGCGTAGAAGTAATTTATAACCAGCTTCTTAATAAACCAAGAGTCCTTCCTGGCCCTAATGTCCCCATGACCAAGGAGGTAAACCACCCCTGATTCTTTCGCCTTGTGAATGAACGAGAGTTCCCTCTCAAAGCTCTGCCCTGCTTCAATAATTGCATCGTCTCCTTCCATCATTGCATTATCGCGGGACTCATCAAAGGAAGTACTTGGTTCGGAGCTTGGTTTCTCAATACAGCTGTAGTCAGCCAGGAGAGGAACACCAAGAGAATAAACACTGCCGTCAGGTGCTACAAGAATCCGTGTAGAGGGGTTCTCTTCTGTATCAGTGTCACTGTCTTCATCGCTCTCTAAGGATCGCTCTTGAGCTTCTCGACGTACGAACTTCTCAAGGCTCTCAATTAGTAGCTGTTCAAATGTTTGATGATGTTCCTTGCGCACATCCTTGTAGCCATACCTAGGATTAAGCAAGAAAATTGAATTTAATATAAGAAGTGAATTGTATGACATCATTCCATTAAAAGTATTTGCAATCAGTAAAGGATCAAGAAAAATCAATTCCACCTGCAGATGCATCTCGCGTATATAATCATGTCAGACAGACCATGGAAGATTTTATCGCACTTTCTTGCACAAGGTTTTTCAAAATCAGTACACAAATAAAAATTAGCATGGCCAAGCTGAAGGAGCACACAATGTATACTCAATAAAAAGACTGTGTTTGACAAACCCTTAAAACTGGGCAACCTAGCCCAGTTTTGAGTTTGTTTCTTGATTGATAAAATTTGGACCAGTCCTGTTCTAGTTTCTTTGAGGCCAAAAAAGAGGCTTAAAACTAGTTTTTTTTTTTTTTTTTTTTTTTGTTTTTTGAGTCACCCCTCTTGGTTCAAAAAAAGAACCAATTTACCTCAAAACCAAGCCAAGATCAGTCCTAGCCCAATTTTGAGGGTTTTGCCAAACACACTTAAGAATACCCACCAAAAAATATTCATATTTGAATAGTCAAAATATAAGAGGTTGATGTAGCACATATGCCACATCAAGCGAGTTTCGTGTGAGATGTAACAGATTAGAGATGGGCCTCATGTAGTGTAAACAGATGTTAACTATAGGTAACATTCTTATTTGATCCTTTTTCTCCTCCTGATACAAATTTTAAACATGCATCTAAGGAAAAATTTTCAAAATAGACCTTTTTTGAAAAATAATCACCATTTTTTACCTACTAGCAAATTATTTAGCAAATTTGACCTAGTTCCAATCACGTTAGCAACGTGGCTGAAACTGGGTCAAGTTTGCGAAATAAGTTCTACAAACTCTATGGTATTGAGAATCCTATATAGTTTAGCAGAGAGTTACTCTACATGGGATGCTCAATCCCATAGAGTTTAGAAGTCTACTAGACTCCACGGAATTTATAGCATACAAGCTACACGGGATTCACAATCCTGTGTAGTTTGTTTCAATTCAAACTCCAGGGGACCGTGAATCTCGTGCAATTGAAGACAAAATCACAAAGCACGCGCTCTTCGTGTTCTCTTGTCTGCAACTCCATGGGATTTGGAATCCCGTGGAGTTGAGACTAACTTTGCGCACCGCCCCCCACAACCGCTAATCTCCCTTGGGCCAAAGTTTGCCTAATTTCATTTTTAGGGTTTGACCTATTTTTTGGTATATTCTTTAAAATTTTCAAGATTTTTTTCTAATTTTTTACATACTCTCTCTATTCCATCCCAATAGCTTATTTTAGTTTAGATTTTGGATTAACATTTGGTTTTTTTGGAAATTAGTATGCAATTTGAAGGAAATTTTGGGAAATTAGTATGTAATTTGAAGGAAAATCAGGGAAAATGGTGTAAAAATTAGTTAATTGAGTTGATGTTGTGAATTTGGATTAATGTTTATCCCTAGAGCTTGTTTTAGTTTATATTTTGGAATAATGCTGTGAATTTTTAAAAAATTGTATGAAATTGGAAGGGAACATTAAAGTGAAGTTGTAAAAATTAGGGAATTAAATTGGTCAAAGTTCTATATATTATTCTTAGCGTTCTTCATATACGATCATGTTAATCTCGAGATAGTTAATCTTTCTATCATACTAACAATGGATTAAGAAACGATCGTTCATCGTTACCTCTAAGGAGTAAAAAAAATTCAACATCAACTAATATGTTTGTTTATATCCAAATCATGTACCTTCGATGGATTGATTAATGACTTGCACAAAATTACATTGATCAATCCACCTAAGTATTACCTCAACGTGATCTACAATTATCTCGTAACGGTGGACATGACAAGCATCGTTCAAATCTCAAATGATTATGATATGAGTCTCATCTTCACATTGAACGACGAGAAGTCAGTGAAATTGTTTATTGAAAATTTTCAGAGAAATTTGGGCAAGGTGGTAAATCATAACAAAGTATACTCTCGTATGTTAGAGGACTTTGAATCTGACTCGATCGGTTTTTTGTCTCTGCGATGTGATATGTATTGGACACAATCGCAACACTTGAGCGGGAATTCGCTTGTAGGGACTTCAAGTGCCTTCGATGATGATGATCTCCATCAAGATATAAGTCCTTCCATAGGAATGGTTATAGAAGAAGGGGGTACAAATGTCAAATCCATGGATCATGATGAAGAAGGCGACTTATAAATTAACATGACATGTTTGACCGATCAGAATGAATGGACCACCGATTGATTGACTAATTTTTTTCTAACAATGAGTATGTCATGTTAAAGGATCCCCGTTGCTAAATTTCATGGAGATGAATGGATTGACGATTCGGCAATGAAAAATATTTCTATTGGCCAACTTTAAATGATAAACAATGCAATGACTTCACACTTGAAAAGGGTGTCCTATTTGAAAGAAAGGAGAAGTTTGTTCATGTCATTCATTTATGGTCCACCAAAAAGAATATTAAGTTCAAGCAGACGAAAAATAATAGAACAAGCTATAACATAGTTTGTTTCTATAACAAAGAGGGTGATCACGAAGATGTCGGTGTTTGCCACGTTGAAAATGCATAGTGTCATTGAAAGCTTAATTCACACTCAGGGGTATGAGTAGGCAGGCAACTTAAAATAACACGCTATAACGGAGTTCACACATGTAACAATCATCGATTAGAGATGAATCATAAACATGCATTCGCCTCTTTCATATATCGATTGATTATGCCTAAACTAAGGGAGGATCTCGGTGCAAACCGAAATGATATTCGCGCTTTAGTACGTGAAGCGACCAACTTGGACGTATCACACATCAAGTGTTGAAATGCTGGGAAGAAAGCGATGACAAAAATGTTCTAAGAGTGGGACAAGTTTTATAAGATATTACCACATTATCTTGAAGCACTCAAAAAAACCTTGGGATAGTGTACGAAGTTTCATCAAAAGCCGTTGGCTGCAAAGATAGATGATTCACGGGGGTATTTTGGGTATTTAGTCCTTCCATTGAGGGATTCAATCATTGTCGTCCCATTCTTAGCATTGACGGTACACATTTGTATGGTAAATATAAATACGTATTGCTCATTGAAACTAGAGTAGATGTAGATGGCAGTTTATTTCATTTGGCTTTTGCAGTTATTGAAGTTGGAAACACAAAAATTTGGTCATGGTTTTTTGCATGCATTACTTGCATATTCCTAGTGCGAGCGATGACGATTACAGTCGTATATGATAAGATGAAAGGACTTCGAAGTGCAATGGAAACTGAATTTCAATCACTGCATCACCATCGATATTGCTTAAGATATATTAGGAAGAACTTTAAGAGGAAGTATGGACAAGTGTATCTCCAAAATCTCCAATGGCAAGCTAGATGCATAACGGTGAAATTGTTGTAGAAGCAACTATGGGAGGAAAGTAAGTCCATTTCACAAGTTGCGCGTAATTGGATTAGGACTAGTTTGAGTCCGAACAATGTCAAAATATGGGCTTTATGTGAAGATGGCGGGAAATAGTTTTGTATAATGATCACAAACGCTTCTGAGAGTTTCAATGGTGTGCTTAGGGGAGCTCGTGATATGCTAATACAGTCATTGATTGCAAAGGCAATTTACAGATTTAACAAATTCTTTATCAGACGACATACGCTTAGAGAAAATGTGATATCACAGTTAGCCCCAAAAGTTGAAGGCATCTTAGCGGACAGATTGTTTATGCTAAATCATGTCGTGTTTTTAGATTTAGTTTCAATGAATAGGAGATCATTAAGGGATTCTCACATAGAGAAAATCGTTATTACAAGTTAATATATTTGTGGATCATACTTGTACATGTACTTGCAACATACCGCAATTATAATGACTTTCTTCTGTCCAAATTGTGGCGGTTTGTTCGGATCTAGAGGAGACATGAGGATATCGCACTATGAATTAGCCATAGTGTGGTATTCAAGTTATAAATATCAACATACATATATTGAGTGTTTTTGCCCACCACATAATAGTCGACATTGGACACACGGTGGGTCACGAATATTACCTCCTCAGTATAAGAGAACAATGTGGCGACATCGTTCTGTACGAATTAGATATACTATGGACGAAGGATGGGTAGGAGTTAGGAAGAAAAATAGGTGTGGTGGTCACACTAAAAAAAGTTGTCCAACTATACTTAGAAGTTGATTATTTGGCGTTTGATTGTGTGGAAACAACATATTTATTTATTTTGGTGGAATCAATGTTATAAAAAATGGTGAAGTTTGATGGAAATCAGTAGACCTTTTGTTGTTTAAAGTTTTAGTTTTCTTTTACTCTTCATTGTTGATGCTTGCACATGTTTATTAGGTTGCTTAGTTCTGCTTGTGTATATATGATTAAGTCGTTCAAATGAAAAATCTAATGTATTATATTTTAATTGCAGAAAGATACACTATGAGACTTGGGTCGATCTTATATGATTAAGTCGTTCAAATAAAAAATCTAATGTATTATATTTTAATTGCAGAAAGATACACTATGAGACTTGGGTCGATCCAAGGGCATGTACTACACCAGCAGACACATCATCGCTTCGATAAGATTGGGTTAGGAAAGATAAAATAAATAAGTTTGTATTTTCTATTTTTATGTAAATTTAAATGTGTTTTCTAAAGGGTTTTCTTAAATTGGATTAATGTGCAATCCATATCAGAGATCGACATAATCGATCATGCTCAGAGTCATTCAGGTTGGGAGATGAATGATGATCGAGTACCATAATTAGTTAGTCAAGCCAGTTTTTTGGAGCGTTCTTCAGTGCGATGGATTAAGCTTGATTGAGTCATTATTCATGCTTTGATTGATAGATGGAGGCTAGAGATAAATACCTTTCATATGCATATATGGGAGTGCACAATTACACTACAGGATGTAGCCACCATACATAGGCTCTGGATTGATGGCCCAGATGTTATAGACATCGATTGCCATAATTCGTAGGATGTATGTGAGAGGCTTCTAGGTTGAAGAGTGGTGCGATGAAGCTTTCATGGCTTCGAGAGACATTTATGGGAGATATGCCCATTAACGTCACAAAGGAGACGATTCGGTACTTTCCTCATGCTTACATATTATATATATTAGGCGCTATGTTATTTCCTGATGCGAATAAAAATCGTGTACATTGTCAATGGCCACCCCTTGAGGATTTGGAGTGTGGCACTCTTTCATGGGGTAATACGGTATTGACATACCTCTATAGATATCTAGCAAGGGTTTCATTGATGGTGACTTAAGGAGTTCAAGAGTTGCATAAAATTACTACAGGTTTGGTTGAGGGAATGCATATATATTGAACGACCTAATTTACAGACGGTCGCTATCTACTGAGTCGGCTTCTATTAGGATGCAAGTATACAAATGTAATATTTAAAATTATTTTTATTGCTTAGTTTTATTCATATGGAAATTTCTGATATCTTTTTCATATCAATCAGATATAATGTGAGGTTCTATAATACCCGGACTAGACATGCATTTTTTAAGAAATGAGCTAGATATCATGCAACACAAACAGATGAATTTATCTCACAATTCAAAATTTATATTCATATTTTATTGTAGATGCTAATACAATTTCATTTAGGACAATATTTGCTCGATCCTATTGAGCAAGTCAATCGCATGTGTCAAATGACATCGCATCATGTGTAGTGGGGGAGATCATGAATCCTACATAATCAAGTGAAATGACAAACATGACCTTGTCAAACATGAGAGATCCACTTTCCTATACAGAGTATATGCATTTGTATTAGGATATCACAGCAGATGGATTGTACATGACCCACACCAGCAGATGAATTCATAATAAGCCCCCGCCCCCCATCCAGATAACTTATATGTTGAGGGCCACGGTCAAGAGAGATTATGTAAGTTTTTAAACGCAAGTAAAAAAATATATTCTTCTTTTAAATCATGACTCGCTAAGCTGTTTATCTTCTGATTAAAATGCAGGTCCCTTTGATGATATTGAATAAAATATAAATAAGAGCATTAGTGAGATTCAGGATCCAAAAACACTATCAATATTCAACATGATCAGACGGACGATAGCCAACATGTTCCTCAAGAATCACGTCGACGAGTTTGAAGGCCGTGAAGACAGGACACGCCAATTCATGGAGGTGTACATGTGAAGACATAAGGCAGACTCTTCTAAAACGCATGATGATGGAGCTTGCACTTCTCAGCGTGCTCCACCTGATAAGGATATTCCACCCGCTACACAGGCTCATATACAGCCAGATAGTGAGATCATCGAGGCTCAAGTTCACGGATGTCAGGGGCGGGAACAGGGGGAGGGGTAAGGTAAGAGAGGCAGAGGAAGGAGGGGAGGAATGCTAAGATGTATGTGACTTTTTTATATGATATGATGTTTGTTTTGTGTTGGATCTTTCCTGAATATAAATAGTTGGATTGTGGTTGGATTGTTCGAAAAGATTACTTGTGTGGATGGATTTTCGTGTATATATGTGATTGGAATTTAATGTATTTATGTGGTTGGATTTTCGTGTATATGTGGTTGGATTTTCATGTTTATGTGGTTGATTGGATTTTCGTATATACATGTGGTTGGATTATTATTATGTATTTTGCTTGATATGTATATGCGGTTAGATTATTTATGTTGAGATTGTATATATATATAACATGTTGTAAAAGATAGGACAGATATCAAGTTGGAAAGTCACTGTTGGAGTGAGTCTGCAACTCCACGAGATTAGGAATCCCGTGGAGTTTGTATGATGAAACACGTGATTCACAATCCCATGGAGTTTGTATTGTGACACAAACTCCACATGATTCACAATCCCGTAGAGTTCAGTAGAGTTCTAAACACTACGGGATTGAGAATCACATGGAGATTAATTCTCCACTAAATTACACGGGATTCTCAATCGGTCAATCCCATAGAGTTCATAGAACTTATTTCGCAAATTCCACCTTGTTTAAGCGTACGTTATTGACATGACTGACACTAGGTCGAATTTGTTAAATAAAATGCAACTAGGTCGAAAATGGTGATTATTTTCAAGAAGGGTCTATTTGAAAATTTGTCCATCTAAGAAATGACATATAAAACAACACATGATTTCAGGTGGTCCCTAAGTTATATGCTCTTGACATGGAATTTAAAGGTAATATAATAGATACAATATGCTCTTGACAATAAATTTTAACAGTAACACTGCTGATAGACTATATTAGAAAGGCATCATATACATGAGGAATTATAGGACATTAACCAATAGCAAATTTCCAAGCACCACCTATCTAAACACATCTTATAATTTGCTGGTTATCTCACATGTTGATGTACATCAATATTTTTTGTAGCCACTTTACAATAATATATCAGGTGATTTCAAATATGTCATTATTTTGTTGATTAACATTTCAAGTGTATTTCCATCAATAGAAGTAATTATTCTTAGATGACCCTTGGACTTTGTAGCATAAAGAGAACTTCTAACTCCCTTCCATGAGCCCAGAAGAGAGATTACTTCCAGGATTTATAACGGACAGTTTTGGTGGTTACTTAATGTCAAATCACACTGTCCTACCAAAGTGAATGATTATCAGCTTCAAAATAGTTCTTTTGAACAGATGCAACTTATGAATCCCAACTGCAACTCTTACAATGTGAAGATTTTCAGTATATCTTTCTTTTAACCAGCAGTTATGAATCCTATGATCACACCCTTTTCATTTATCTTACCAGTGAAACTGTACAATATACAAGTAGCATGAATTGATTTCAAATGAAACTCTTGTTTCATTCTCACTTTCATTTTCCTCTTTTTCTCTCTTTTTATTTTTTGAGTGTCATATATGTGCTAGCCTTCTATGATACTTGGCTTTTGAATGAACATGTTATGGAAACAACAGGAAAAGCCGATGTAACAATAGAAGAAGCAACGGTTGATCAATAAAAGGTTCTTCTAGCAGCGTAAGAAGAATTAACGTTCTATTATTTATATGATAAACAGTGATGAACATAAAATAACTGACTATTAGTGTACTCCATAAAAGGCAGACACCTTTGCAGTTAATATGCTTCAAGAAAGTGATTGCATACCTAGCGATGCAACGAAACATGTGATAGCTCTTTGGGCAGACACGCCTGAAAAGAAACCTTTCATTTTGAGGCACTACAGGAACTGGTACATACTTTATGCATACAAATACGATCATAGAGTGGACCGCTGGAAGAGTGGTCAGAAAATGACCAAATATTGCAGGAACTCCTTTAACTAATTCATTGTAAACCAAACCGATTCCAGGGGCTCTAATAGTACCAAGATTGCAACCCAATTTCATCATTAACTGCATGGAGAGCTTCTGCTTAACTTCAGTCTCATACTTCAACTTGCTGCCATAGTTCCAAATGTACATTATCATAAACAAAACTGCTGTAAAAACCAACAGAACCCAGCTTCCATCTCCCACACTACCCAAAACCGAGGAGAAAAAAAGGAGTTCTACTCCTAGAAAGAAAATGAGAAAGCAAAATGCAGTGATGATGTTAAGCTGCCATATCAGAAGCATAATGAGGGTCACTAAGATCGTTGTCATCATCATAACTCCAAGCTCAGCAATGCCTGCAGAAGCAAACATCATTAAAAAAGAAGGAATTAATGTACAAACCGAACTATGATCAGGAGGAAAAGGAATAGAAAAAAAAAGGAAAGATGAGCAGATGAAGAAATTAAAAGATAAAAAATGGATAGATGTCAAGGAAAACAACTCAGAGCCAAACCTAGCATCCAATCATCTTTGCCCTCTTTAATTTCTTTTCCTAAACAAAAGTAGCTTTAAATATACAAATCAATGAAGCCCAAAGAACTAATGTACAATTTAGCCATAGAAGCGAAGAAGATATCAAAATATATTTTTCTTCTGCACAATCTAATCTTACAAGTCACTACCAATGTGGCAAACCTAAATAAAGCAATGCAAAAGCATTGGAATTTGGGAGGTGTATTGGAGATCTACAACAGCATAGTAATATATCATCCTAGATCCATCTAAGGCCCAACGCCATAACATACCTCAAGCCATTTACGAGGAGAACCACTCATCATCTTAAAAGTATTGAGACGAAATGCATGTATCACAAAATTCAAAGCCTCATAGATTTTTCTCATATTAATTCATTGATAAATAAGATTCTTGAAGGCAACCCTCAAATTTAAATGTTTAATTATATTGATGAAGAAATATCTCTTGGATCTATGTTGGACAGATACGCGCATAGTGACACAATATGATGCAAACACCGTCACAAAGATAACCTTGAAAAACTATGGTAATGCATGGAAAGGATACAGAAATGCATTAATTTATTTTAAATTCATCGTAGCATTATGTTATGTTCACCGCTAACACTAAATGTGCAGACCTCTGGAAGTACAGAAATAGTAAAGTGATATATTAGACACAGTGATGCCTAACAACTAGATCACATGATTACATCTTATAGCCAATTAAATGTGTAATTCAAATAAAATTGAAACCATAAAACAAAAGGAGTAAATTAGGAGGAACTAACTATGAGATAAATCTATCTATACTTTTATGACCTTTCTCCCTCTTACAATTTTTAAAGTTTACTATGAGCCATTGTATGATTACAATCGTGATGAGCTAAACGATCTTAACTTCAGTCTGAAAGAGATCCATGCTGACCAAAACTGCAAGTGTTCTTTTCATGGGTAATTTTTAGCATAAGCTGAGTGAGGAGAGTTCAAGGGAAACTCAAAAATGGAAGATAGTAGCAGACCTTCATTTTGACAGTATCCTACTATTTCCCTATATTTTTAGTTTTCTATTTATGTACTTTTATATTTCAAGAAGTTTAAGGTAGATAAAGATAATGTTCCGAAATAAATAGATGGATTGTCTATGTTCTTTCCCACTCCAGCAGATTTTGAAGTTGCTGCTGAGTCAGTTTATTTCCTCCTTTTTGGTTATAATGGCACGCAACAAACCAACCCTTTCTCTTTATAATAGTGAAGGGCACTGCTATGAAATCCGAGAGCATCCAATTACAATTAGAATTTATCTTCCCACCTTAACAAACATGAATATTCTATTAACAGATTAAATATATGATCTCAACAATTGGCTACTCGTACAAAAGAGAGGTCATAATTAACAGTGAAGGGAAGAAATAGAGCAAAGGAAGAAATTTGATACCATATGCATTTCCCAGCTCATATATGCTTCCAAAGCTTGCAACAAGTGCCAGCGAGAAAACCAACAAGAACCAGTTAATAACTGGAATATAAATTTGACCCATGAACTTTCGAGATGTGTGTATGATTTTGAGGCGAGGAAAACAACCAAGGGCTGTCGCTTGCTTTATGCATGAGAATGTTGCAGTCGTCATTGCTCGACTGGCAATAAGTGCAGCAACAGAAGCTATCAGGAAGACTGGCCAGAAAGCTCCACCTGAAAACAACAAAAAATCATAATCTAGACCCCTTTTCGTAAGCAGACGAAAAGTGGAAGTAGAAGATAGAAACCATTTTCACACCTCTTAGTCTTTCTTAATGAAGCTACAGTATGTCTTAGTAGCTCAAATTATAGCAAATATACGTCCATCATCCCAACACTCGTACAGTGAGCAAAAATTATGTACCATACTTCCAAGGGTACGGATAAACAGCTAGCTTTTCTGATTTTAAATAGAATGACAAAAATAAGAGACGAGTTAAGTCCTAAAGTTGAACTATTGATCTGGTTTCTCAGAGGTGTACAACAAAATTATAATTTGTGCCTCATATGACGGAAAGATTGCTGAAAATTACTTTCAATCGAAATCTTACTGAACACCTTGAAATTTTGTAACTGAAAAGAAAGACATATAAGTGAAATGTCGTTAGCTTGCTTGCTTCTGGAAACTCTGATTATTCGACATAATGTCAGATCATTCAGGGACATCTTTAATGTTATAGAAGAAAGCATAAAATTTCCCCAAAAAATAGAAAATTTCCTCCTTAATAGGGTAATATCAAGGGAACAATTTGCGCAATTTACAAAATAAGAAGGTACAAGTTAATGTACCAAAAGGTCCAAACTTACCTCAGATGGTTCAACAGGATGGGTATGGCAGCCTTCCGAGAAGGATAAAAGGAATTCAAACTTCAGATCTAGAAAAACCAAAATTTGACAACCATTTAAGGTGTTTGACGTTATGCGCCAAGAGGTGAATGTTTGAATCAGAAAATAAAAACCACTGAAATCTGACATATGTTTTATAGACTTAGTTGTCTGGCAGATCTGCTAGATTCTAATCATCTGCTTATATGATTATAATTTATAAAGAATAAAGATTGTGTTCCATATTCAACTTATAAATAGACCAGAATCAAGGACTACACACATCACTCTTACAGTTAATAACTAGTTCAGCTATGCAATAAAAATGAAAAATATTGAAAACTCCAGCTTACTTGGGATTGAAGAAAAGAAAACCTGCTCATTCTGATTTAGATTTTCCATCAAAAATGCAGCCTGACCAAGGTATCCCAACATAAGGCAAGGGAGAACCAGAAACACGAAGGTAACCTGCATCAAATATTTAAGAATACAAAAAAATCAGAGAGTTCATATACACTTTATAGAGAAATCCACATATTTCAGAATTATAAGCACTGGCAACATGTAGAAATTCCTCACCTGTACAGATCTTACAGAGAAATAACAAAGATCTGCAAACATCGCCTCAGATCCTGAAATGCCAGCAATACAATAAGGACAGGTAAAGATAATTCATCATGAAATGCGAAAGGAGAAAACAGAACATGTATACATCCTCAATAGCGAAAGAATGCATAATAACAAGAAGAAAGACGATGAGGAATATTCTCATAAAATCAGCAGCTCCTCATATAAGTTAAGAAACACCAGGCAGTTTCTTAGATTCTTTTAAAATATAGTGATTGCTTTATTTTAGGAGCATCTCTTACATGCTCGAACAAAGAGAATAAAAGATTCATTCGAGGTAAAATGCATTCACTAGAGCATGCAAAGATATCTCAGTGATTAAACAGCCTTATTGCTTTGACTCTAATATAAAGCATAAGAGTGAGAACTACTGAAAGCAAATAAGAGAGATTGCTATCCATAAATATGTTAATTCCACGAACTATCTAAACAAGCAACCCGATCATTGAAGTTAAATGCAACTTTAAAATATAACGCACTTGCTGAAATTATATTCTCAAGTCTCACTTTACCTGTTGCACACAGAAGACAACCACCAAGAGACATCCAAGCCTGAGTTGAATGTTTCTTAAAATAATAGTAGATACAAATAGGGTTAAATGCCCTCAAAACAGTTGTTCCATAATTCATGAGGTTGTAGGCACCAGTGCCTGCGAGGCAGCAAAACCAAATGAACAGAGCAGGCCCAACTGCAAGGCCCACTTTGCTTGTCCCAAATCTCTGTAAACTAAACAGGACTATAAGTGACACAGCAGTTATCATCACAGTTTCATCTGCATGATGCACAAAATTATTGTTAACATGTATAAATATGAGAAAGTTCATAGAAGCAAATTTTTCTTTGCAGCACAATTTTAATGTAGGATGTCAGATAGTAACAGAAACTCCAAATGAAAACAATAACAAGATATGGACTGTTCAACTACAGAATGAAAGACAACAGCAATGGACAGTCTATCTTATATCCAGGGTTCAAAATAGATTAACTAGTCAAACAGTATAGGTATCTTTAAGCAATCACAAAAGGCATGATTTAGAGATACTCGCTAGAGTATGAATAATGCCCTACTTATTCCGACCTGACTCATTTTCTTAGCATTATTCCAATCATGTGCCTCTCAGATCATTTAATCATAGAGAAAAAGAAGAAAATAAAGTTACATGTGTGGGAACTTAGCTTTTGAGTCTTTCTCAAAATACCCTTGGTGAGTGTAGTGCTTATTTCACCTTAGTTTTTCAGTCCAAAGAAGTTTAAATGATGGAAAATTTAGTGTAAGATGAAGGATAAGGAGAGAACCCAATATGCTGTACAAAGAGTACCCAATAAGTTTTTAGAGCTCATAACTATAATCAAAAGTTAAGTATCACCTGGTCCAATGCTATCAATTCCAAACTTTAGTCCATTAGCAGCCGACATGACTGAAATTTCCAGAGGATGATAAAAAAATGAGAACCTAAAACTGGTTATGATAAAACAATAAGCCAAAAATAACCTCAATGTCAGAAGTAACTAAAAAGGAATCGAATAAATCAATAAAACAAACACTATTTTCTTAATAGTTGCAAGAAGAACAGAGAAAAGATTATCGTACCAGACATTGCTGGGGTGACGACTCCATCTGCTATCACCATGGATGTACCGAAAAGCACCAAGGCAAGAAGTAACTTCTTCAGTACTAATGAGTTTTCTAAATGCTCCTTGATTTTTAATGATCTCTCTAGCTCTGGTGATGGCACTTTCAACCGGAAACTTGATATCCGAGAATCAGAGGATAATTGATTTGGGAGAAGACTGACCTTTGCATTTCTGCATATCAGTGAATACAAAGCAAATGTACCCCCTGAGAGAAAGAATATCAAAAACCAAAGTTACTGCAAAATTAAATCCCTTGTGACAAGACTTTGATAAACATGGATATAGAGAAGTCCCAAATTTTCGTTCTCCTACCTTCACCATTATCATTGCCCCAAAGAACAACCATAATGTACTTCACCAATGGTATCAAGATCAAAGTGTAGAGAACAAGAGATAGTGCTCCAAGGACATCTTCCTTCCCAGTAATTTGATATTTGTTGAACATAACATCAAAAGTATACAGCGGACTTGTTCCAACATCACCAAATACAACGCCAAGCGTCTGAAGAGTGAGCACTATGTTTCTACCCACATTAAAGTCCTGCGGTTAGTATTAAATACTTTAGAAAGATCAAATTAGAATTCAGTTATCAGCAGATTTTTAAATCCATACATGGCATGCTTTAATTGTCACTGGTTGGGTTCGTGTATAACTTCCAATTCATAAGTCAATATGTCATAGAAAATATAGATTGAAATCCTAACACCAGCCCCATTTATCATTCAACATTTTCTAAATAATTTAAATATCTTATCGTTTTTAAATTATTTAAAGACCATAGTGACTGTTTTTGGAAGGCTAATGATCCCCACCCTTAACCAACCAAACCCCCACATCAGAGAAAATCCTGGCTCCATCAAAGATTTTACTTATCTTTGATACTACTTAAAAGAATCTCTTAATAAGAAGCTCATTAAAGAAACTTCATAGACTCACCAACTTGCCATAAGTAATACTTTAAGCAACTTAAAAATATAAATTTTCATAAAACCATCAGATTCGTTCAGTACAAAATATCAAAAATTTCAACTAAAAAGATCAAATTCATACCTCGTAATCATTCCGATGAGCCCCAGGAACCTCAAGGGCCTCAACATCAAAGGAATCAATCCTCGGCCCGGTCCTAATCAACCTCTGTTCAGGATTATCCTCCTCTTCTTCCTCTTCATCGGACTTGATGCTCATCCGATGAGGAAAATCATCGCTTTCGTCTTCATCGCTGTTGGAATCGTCGTCATCCTGACAAACCCATCTCGATTCGATTGAATCCATCTTTGATAGATTGCTGTTGTTGTTGCTTCTCCCGTTCTCCCCGCTCTCTGATCCCTCCGCCATTGACAACAACACCAGCGGCAAATTCTTGGAACTTTTATCTAGATTTTTAGGAATTTAATTGGAAAAGAATTAATTGATCCATGGAATAAAATTGGGCATTGGGAAGAGATCACTGTGAGCATCTCCAACAATCTCCTAGCAGAGCTTTTTTTTTTTGGGAGTGCTCCCAGGCATGGGCCCTACTTAAAAGAGGAATATTCTAATAAACTCATGTCTAGAAGCTCAAATATTATTTAAAAAGTTTATTTTTTTTAAAAATAATATTTTATAAATATATTTTAAAATAATAAATCTAATAAAAAAATTAGTTGGCCACAAATTTATAGAGCTTCTAAGTGCTCCACAAATTTATAGAGCCCTTAAGAGTTTCATGGTCGACCCCACTGTCAATTAAGAATTAGATAGGTGCTTGAGAGTTTGTTGGAGCAACTTAGGAGTTTTTTACTTGCCACATCACCCTAGAAGCCTCCTTAGGAGGCTCTTGGAGATGCTCTTAGGACACCGCGTCCATCCCATTGTTGAGTGGGTGGGGTTGGGTTCAGATCTTTTGTGGAGTTGGATCCAAGATAGGTTTGTCTATTTCGTCCAGATACCCATACCCGGAGTTGGATTTGGAAATTTGGAGGTAAAAGTGGGTATTAGGGGCAGTTTGGTTGATTTCTTAGAAACCTTGCAGATAGGCTATGGGACCCATTTTCATGGTTTTAAGTCCACTAGCATAATGCATGTGCTTTGCACGTGGACATGTTGGTATATTTAATATTATATTATTTAATAAGTTATATATAACCATTAAAAATTATTTTATTACACTATGATTAAAATATTAACTTATACTAATATTAGTAATTATACTATTATTAACATACATTTAATAGTTATTTAAAATTTTATATTATTATATTATTAAACAATTTATTTAGGAGTATTATTATTAAATAATAATGTAATCATTAGTTTAAGTAATACTATTGATATAATTAAACCATTTAAATTATTAAATATTTATGTCATGTACATATTTTATTATAATATCTATTAAATAATGGCAATAATTTTTAATATTATATGACTTTATGTTTTAAAGAATATTATCTTGTTTGATTATTAATATCGTCTTAGTAATAAAAAATTGGATGGTATAAATTAAAAATACGATTATTTGGAAAAAGTACTTTATATAAAAATATTGGATCCTTGAAATATATGAGATATTTACTTTTCAACAAAAAGTGCATGACTCATAAATTTCAAAGATCCAATATTTTATTGAACTATGTTCATAATGTCCATTTTTTATGATTAAGACGATATTATAATATCGAAAAGGGAAATAATCGTTATAATATAAAAATCCTATTTATACTATTATTAATAATTATAATTATGTGCAATATTTTATTAAATAAATAATTTTAATATTTCATTAAAATTAATAATTATTTTATAATAAATTATAATATATTTATTAATTTTATTATCATTATAAATTATTAGTATATTCTAGCGAGTGGCCAAATATTTTGAAGAAAAGAAGAGAAAAATATATGTCTCGTAAATTTCAAGGATCCAATTTTTTTATATAAATTAATTTTCTAAAATTAAAGTATTTTTAATTTATAACATCCAAATTTTTATTTCTAAGATGATATTAATTATCGAACAAGGTAATATTTTTTACAACATAAAAAAATAACCATATTTATACTATTATTAATATTTATAATTATGTGCAATAATTTATTAAATGAATGATTTTTACTATTTTATATAATTAATAATTCTTTATAATAAATTATCATGTATTCATGAATTTTGTTATCATTATAAATTATTAGTATATTCTAGTGAATGACCAAATAATTGAAGTGGTGCAACCAAAAGTTTCTCATGAGATAAACTCTTTCCTGCTTTCAGATTACACAGAGGAAGATATACAAAAGGTAGTCAGCAATCTAAATCCCCTTAAAGCTCTAGAAATGGACGGGCTCCAAGCTCTGTTCTATTAAAAGTTTTGGAATCTTACCAAAAGAGATGTCACCAAGACTTGCTTAAAATTTTTGAACGACAACTACCCTTTCAATGAGCTTAACGAAACTCTTATAGCCCTTATTCCCAAAGTTAAGGGTGCCATGAAGAGGGAAGACTTACACCCGATAAGTTTATGCAACGTCGTATACAAGATCGTGTCTAAATGCCTTGCGGATAGATTGAAGATCAGCCTGGATAAGATTATATCGAGCTCTCAAAGTGCTTTCGTTAGCGGGAGATTGATTCACGACAATGCAATTATTGGGTTTGAGGGGTTGCATAGTATGAAGAAAAATAGATTTGGGAATGGCGCGAAAATGGCTCTCAAACTTGACATGGCTAAAGCTTACAACCGGGTTGAGTAGGAGTTTATTCAAGCAGTGATGTTAAGGCTGGGGTATGACCAAGACTGGGTTAAAAAGATCATAAGATGTGTCAGTTTGGTGGCCTTTTCTTTCTTAATCAATGGGCAGCCGAAAGGAAAAGTCTATCCTCAAAGGGGTTTGAGGCAAGGCAACCCCCTCTCCCCTTCTTATTTCTGTTTTGTGCAGAGGCCTTATCCTGTTTAATCCAGAAAGCAGAGTTGGAAGGAAAAATTAGTGAGCTGGGTTTTGGGAGTAATGGCCCTTCGGTGGCACACCTTTTTTCCGCTGACGATAGTATTTTGTTTATGGGTGCTAGTGTTGAGGAGGGCAATGTGGTGAAAAACAATCTGGATATTTATTCAAAGGCGTCGGGTCAGAAAGTCAATTTTAACAAGTCCGAAGTTTACTTCGGAAAATTGGTGAGCTCTCTTGACTATCAACAACTTGCTGGCTGTTTTGATGTTGCTGTCAATAACCACTTCCAAAAGTACCTTGGAACGCCTTGCTTTGTGGGAAAGAATAAGAAAGACATATTCAAAAGTATAAAGGATCGTATTTGGAACAAGTTAAAAGGGTGGAAACGGTCTTTATTCTCGGTTGCTGGGAAGGAAGTTCTAATCAAATCAGTGATCCAATCAATCCCTAATTACGTCATGTCTTGTTTCAAACTCCCAAAGAATTGCCTTAATAGTATCCAAAGTCTCATGGCTAGATTTTGGTGGGGTTCAACGGAAAAGAAGAAAAGGATTCATTGGAGTAAATGGTCGTAGTTGTGCAAGAACAAAAATCAGGGTGGCCTTGGTTTTAAAGATCTTGAAGCTTTCAATCAAGCTATGCTCAGAAAACAAGTTTGGAGATTTATTCGAAACCCGGATTTATTGGTGGCCAAGGTGTTAAAGGGATGTTACTTCCCTAGAGGGAACATTTTGGAGGCCAAATTGGGATATAATCGCTCTTTTATATGGAGGAGCTTGTTATGGGGAAAACAACTTATTGAGAAAGGGTACTGATGGCGTGTGGGCTCGGGGGAAGATATTCGGATTCTTGAGGATAAATGGCTACCAAGGCCGTTCTCCTTCTCTTTCATTGACAAACCTTTCCTCCCCGATGGCCTTAGGGCGATTGACCTTAGATTTGAGGATGGCCAATGGTGTTGGCCTTTTTGTTTTAAATATGTTTTAACAAACAATTTACAACTAATATTGTTTATCTAGTATTTGTGTTTTTGTTTTTACATTTATTCTAAGCAAACAATACGTTGGAGGATGGATGTAATAGAGCTTTCACGATCATATCCAATAAAGGTTAGAGAAAATACCGGAATGAATCCATATACAATTCAAATCAATTCAAGATCAAGCTTCATCCGCAAAGTTACCAAGATCGAGCTCAAATTGAAGATCAAGATTGCTTGGGTATATTTAGTTTAGGTTTTTATATTATGTGTGTTTAATACATCAAGCTCAACCACATTCACACATGAACTTGATCTACATATTCTAAAATCCCAACACACCAAGTTTGGGGTGAATCCGTCGTCGTTTGACCCTCCATCGAGCCATGTGAAAAGTTTTATTCATTCAAAACCGTTGAAATTAATACGAGTGGATGAAGGGTCAAACGACGACGGGTTCACCCCAAACTTGGTGTGTTGGGGTTTTATAATATGTAGATCAAGTTCAACGGAGCGGATCATCCACAATGTCGCTTAATCATGTGATTTTAGAAGCGTCAAGGAGGAAATCCCCTCCTATGACAAGGATACTCATTAATCTCATACACACACACACACACAAGTTTTCATTTTGGAGTTTTCAAGTTTAAATATGAAACAAATAAATATAATTGGAAAATACATACTTGTTTCATGGTTATATGCTTATATATGATTTTATCAATATCAAGTTTATTTAGTTTAATGAAATCATATTTATTGTTTTGAAAGTTTGCAAAACGTGCATTTTTGTGAAAGTATTGAGTTATTGATTTATGGACTTCATAATCATTATATGCATCTTATATATAGAGTCTGTTTCTCATACGCACTGATGCGTACGCATCAGTCTCCCCCAGGTGCGCTGCAGGGGTCTTTATGAAAAAATTCCACTTTGTTAACCCCCCAAACCCGTGACCCTTCTCTCTCTCTCTCTCTCTCAAAAAAAAAAGAAGCCATCTCTCTCTCCCCCTGACCCTAACCCCTCCTCCTCCGCGATCTCTCCGTCGAGCTCCTCCTCCGTCTTCAGCCCTCCTCCTCCGCGATCTCTCCATCGAGCTCCTCCTCCGCCTTCAGCTCGAGCTCTATCTCTGGATCGCGCTCCTCCACCTCCTCCTCTTCCATCAAGCCCTCTTCCTCCGCGATCTCGCCGTCGAGCTCCTCCTCCGCCTTCAGTCCTCCTCCTCCGTGATCTCTCCGTCGAGCTCCTCCTCCGCTTTTCTCTCGAGCTCTCTCTAGATCGTGTTCCTCCTCCTCCTCCTCCTCCTCCTCCACAATCAAGCCTTCCGCCATCAAGCAGATCCGGAGAACTCCATTATTCTTTTTTTTGTTTTTCTTTCGTTTTTCTTTCCTATTTTAAAGCTGTTAATAGAATATCATGTTGTCATTATGGTGGATTATATCTTATAGGTTAAACTGCAGATAACGCCCCTCATCTACATGTCCAATAGCAGTTACCACCCCTGAATTTGCATTTTGAGGAGAACAAAATGGTGATGAACCCCTTTCTACATTATGATTGAGGGGTGGTAAGTGCTAGTAAAATTGTTGAGGGGTGGTAAGTGCTACTGAAGTATAGATGTGGGGAGTTATCTGCAATTTACCCATCTTATTATAGGAGTTTCAGAACTTGCGTAAAGAATTTTAAAACAAATTTGGATTGTGAGTCAAAAGTGTGTTGGCTCTTCAAGCTCATGTTAATGTTTTTATACAGGTATGTGGCCCTCCAGTATTGGATTGATGGATCACATATCTGGAAACAAGGCAAAGGATTATACGCAAGGCGAGGTATGAACACATTTCTTCATTACAACATTTTCTTATTCAGCAGATTGAACTTGGAAAATCAAAGAGCTAAGAAAACCAATATTTAAACGACCTGTTTTTAAGTTGTCCCAGTTTGATATACAGGTATGTGGATTCCTACAATAAAATTTTGATGTTGGTTGGATGAATACTAAAAGAAGAAACAAGAGGTGAATAAATAATCTGATCTTTTTATCAACTCTGTGCGTTGGTTGTGTTGTTTATTTCATTTTTGTGAGCCTCACATGTTTTCACGATCAATGGAGCATATTTTGTTGGTTGGTACTGTAGGGTGTAAATTTGATTTTCCGAAAACAGAGAGTTTCGTTTGCATTGATAAGAAAGCTTATTACAAACTAATAATCAAATGTTTACAACAGAAGCAGAGGGAATGCCCTCTTTGTTTTGTGTGGGGTCTTTAGGTGGCTATAGGATGCTTCGCTCGATGCTTGTGTCGAGTCTGCTTCCCTTGGACCGTTCGATCGAGGTTGCTGGAGAGCTTCAGTACACAGTAGAAGCTCAAGTCGATGGAGTTCGGGTCTGCTTAGTTCGCCAGCGATCAGAGCTCAGAACCAGACAGTGGTGCTGTAATGTAAGGATATGCGAACAGCTTGGTCTCAACTACTTTTCTCCAAGTTTTTCGACCTCCTCCTCAGTTTGCTAGAAGAGGCTTTTAAATGGAAGAAGGACAGCTTGACTACTCCTTGAATTATGGGATGTGACCATACATTATTCGGAGATATCCTGCTGTTCATTCGTACCACCAGTGGTCATTCAAAGAGCTGTGCTCCGCATCACGTCACGTAGGAGTAGGAAAGCCCCTCCTCGTATGCGTGACAACAGCTGTCAGATGCTTGCGTGGATCTGACCAACCACCGAGCGCCGGCGGCTCTCGCCCTTTGCTTGGACAACTGAGGTGAGCCGTATTTATGAGAGTGCAGGCTGTTTTGACATTTGTCTGCTCATTCGTACTGTGGGCGGCTATTCGGCGGGCCTGGAGTGCTGTGCCTTCTCCCTTCAGGTCAAGAGAGGTGGGAAAGCATGTTCCTGGCACTCGAGTGGGTTTGGACAGCTCGCCGAATGCTGGCGGATTCGTCTCCTGACTCAGACAGCCGAGGTGAGTTGCATTTATGAATGCTCAGGTCGACTTGACACCCGTCCAGTCCTTCGTACTATGAGCGGCCGCTTGACGGTCTTGGAGTACTGTGTCCTCTCCCTTCGGGTCGAGAGAGTCGGGAAAGCCCATCTCAGCACGTGGGTTAGCAGATATCTGGCCATATTGGCGGCCTTGGGGTTTGCGGGCAGATTCGACTTTGGACTTGGGCAGGCGAGTTGTGTCAAAGGCGAAATTCTGCTATCCCAGTTGATTCTGGTTCGTGCAGGCGAGTTGGTCATTCAGGTGACTTTCTTGCTGAACTCACAGAGGTATTTTTTACTGTCTACAAGACCCCCTTCAAAGTTTTCAGACCTAAACCGGCTTGCGTGTGGTCTGGAATACTTTGAATGAAGAAGTTTTTGGTGAAGTAAGCGCACTTGGTTTCTTTTAGGATTTTTAGCAAACCCTCAGCTATCAACGGGTTTGATGTGCCTTTACCGGTTACCGTTCGAACCGGGCTAGCCATACTATTCCCCTCAGTATGATGAGTTGTCGAGTAGTTTCTCTTAGACTTGATGCTAAGATTTCTACTCTCAACCTCAGCCGTTCGAGGCGTGGTTTTAAGCGAGATAATCTTTTTGGAGTTTCAAAGTTTGGGACAAGTCGTGTTACTTGTCGTTTATCTCCAGGAGCGAATAAGCCGTTCAGGCGAAGTTAGGTTTTGGAGGCGAATTCTGTTCGACTTGCGGATTTGGGTCGAATTTTCGCAGGCGAGACCTTTCTTTTCGGGCGAAACTCGGCTCGGTGTGGGTGAGCCACGCGTCCGCTGGTGGGCTTCGTGCTTTCTAGCTAAGACGGCGTGGTTCTGTCATGTCGTGTTCTGACGTAAGCTTCGTGCTCCCCGTTTGAATCGTGGCCGTGATTTTCAAACCTAACCGTCAGATACAACCGTCGATTTTGGTTCAGGTTTGGGGTTTTTCGACCGACCCGTTTTCCGCCTCGACGCGGCACTTCGAAATGTCAGGGGGCAATCTGGACCGTTGATTTCGATCGTGGTCATGTTTCTCGTCCGCCAGTATTTTGCTTTTTGAGGGCGATCGTGGCCACGTTGGCCACTCCTCCGTTAAATAGGTCGTTCCCTTTCTTTGAGAGTTACCGTGCTCCAGAATCCTGAAAATTTTCTAAAGAGAGAGAGTTCCCGCTTAATCCCCTCAATGGCGCCGAAATCCAAGAAGTGTATCACGAAAGGAGGAGGTCCCGGACGCTATTCCGACCGCCTTTCTGCTGGTGCGCCCGCCCGCATACCTGAGACACCCTTGGGTAAGTCGATAGGTTTGTCTGACGACTTTGTGTCGGTTACAGGCGTCGGGTAGGGGAGAATGAGCATTGCTTGTCCTCCCTGGATTCAGTTGTCTTTTGGTAGTTTCTCCGATTTAGGGCAAAATCGTCCCCCTTTTTGGGTGGATTTTGTACTGACTCATAGAGGGCGATTCCCGCCTCCATAGGTGAAATTGACCTTTACTAGGCGAAGGTGAACTCGTTTCTTGATAGGCGAGTTCGACTTTTCCTCTGATAAAGGAGAATATCGTTTTCGCGGGCGGATCCTGCTCTTAGTTGAGCGGGTCTCGCTTTTGACAGGCGGATTCGCCCGTCTT